TTGCCAAAAATTTTAAGAATGTCCACAACATTGCTTCAGGATAAGTTATTCTATTTTCTTATATGTTTTTTTCATCCCCACATACTGTAAAACAGTGTCCTCTGGTTTAAGGGTGAACATAATGAGCTAATCAATCATCATGTAACATATATTTCTGTGTATCCTTTATAGGTTGACTTTGCTAACTGTCTTATTGGTGGAGGTGTTTTGGGCGGTGGTCATGTTCAGGTATTTAGTTACATGTATGTCACTTTTAGCCTTTCTGGGTCCTTTGTCTTAAGGCTGTTTCAGGGTCAAGGAGGCAAAAAGTGAATTACTTACCAATACTTTTTACTTACTGTCACATGTGGCACATGCACGAGTATGCGAGTGGGCACGTGAGCTAATTTGGCAAACTTTTTAACGATGTTTAGTGTTGTTCCCTGAAGAAGGCAGCATTGCCGAAACGTCAGTTAAGACTGTTTTGAACTGTGTTGATTTTACAATTTTCAAATTAAAATTAAGGCAAAAAGTATACCCTATTGATCAACACATCCCCACATAGCCCATGTATATGTTGTGGTTCAATTTTATCCTTGGTTTAATTTTGATTTTCCTTTGTTTTTGGGACGTATGTTAATGTATGCGATAATGAATTTAGAACAAAGGAAAATAAAAATTAAGCCAAGGAAAAAACTGAACCACAATATATACAAGTACCCACCCTCCCCTGGTACCATAATAAAAATTTATTTTATATTTGATACAAAATGTACTGATAATCTTGTAATTTGGTGTATGTTGTGATTTCAGGAAGAGATAAGATTTTGTATAAATCCAGAGTTGCTTGTGGCTCAGATGTTCATGGAAGCCATGCAAGACAATGAAAGCATTGTGATCAGGGTAAGTTTCCACCAGTTAACTTTTAACCAGGGGTCAATTTCTCGTTGGGTGCCCCTGATCCGTATCATCACTCTCCTTTGCATTAAGTTATTTGTTTATTGTGGTCATAAAGATGGTGAAAATTCTCATTTGCTGGCTCTCTTCCAGAGACTGAAACCTTTCAGTGGCTTTGATGTTCTGCAACAATGTAGCCTGGTTTACTTTTGTGTTTGAGTCTCTTGTAATGTAATGTTAATCCTTTTCAGGGTGTTGAAAGGTTCTCATCTTATTCTGGATATGGAAAGACTTTTGAATTCAAAGGAGATTTTAAGGATCAATCACAGGTAGAGTTGGCTCCTCAGACTAAGACTCCCATGCATTATCAACCCATTGTTTTCACTACGATCCAACCTTTGAAATCACTCAAACACTACTGGAATTGATTTCCATCAATCCAACAGTTGAAAAGTGGCAGTAGTTGCAGGTGCCCTTTACATTAATTGATTGACAGAAATCAATTTCCAAGTGGTTTTGATTTCAGAGTTCAAAAAGTAGTGAAAGTATTGGTAGCCCTAATAGTGATTAACTTAAGAAATGCTGACATTTCACGATGCCATCACTGGTTTCCCCGAGAAATGATGTTTGAGCAACGACTGAAAACATTCCATACTATGACGTGTCACTACCCAGATCTGAGTAGTGCTTCTGATAGGTCCTGTCACAAGAAATTTGCTTGAGATTTGGGTAGTGAATGTCACCAGTATAGAATTTTTGTGCTTGTCCTCAAATGTCATTTTGTGCAGAAACCAATGGTGGCGTCATGAAATGTAAGCTGTTTTCTCAGGCTAAATGGTGATCAGCAACTATTTTCTCCTTACATTAATACAAAGCCAACAAAGAGGGAGAAGAGATCTATCCTTAACCACACTACTTTTGGAATTATGTTTAAAAACCGGAAGCATTATTTTTCTAATTTATATCTGGTTAGTTCAAACAATCTGGAGGTCCGGGGTTCAAGCCTCGCCTTGCCTCTCCTCGCCTCATATATGTCTGCTATGGTGCTCGCGATCTGTAGCACTGAAGGTTATTCATTTATGAATATGAGAAACATTACCAGACCGAGGATGCCACCCTGAGGTACACCCCTTACCTTACCTAGTTCAAACAA